CAGTTATTTATGATCAACCTGCGCCGTCAATCCCGGCGCATGTGCGCTTTATTTGCAGTCTGGACGCTAAAGTTAAACATGCTGTGTCTCTGCTCTGACTGCAGCGCTGAGAGGGACTCCTGCGATAGCGGGGGAGAACGGGGTTGGGACGGAGGAGGCGCCCCACGGCAGCACCTGCCGCTGGAGGACAAGAAAAGGAACGATACGTGCTTTCACGTAAGAGTCTCCAAAAGTCGCTAGATTTGTCGCTAGTCGCTTTTTTGAAAAAGAGTCGCTGGAGGGGTCTGAAATATAGCGACAAAGTCGCTGAGTTGGCAACACTGGGGCGCGAAAGTTTATTCCGTTACAAATAATATGCCGACGTCACGTCAATAATTATTTTGGCACTTCAGTTCCAGGTGAAATGTTTCTCATATCTAATGTTCTTTTAATTAGACTGCATGTAGGCTAGTAATGATTACTTTGTGGGTTTGATTGGTCTAAAAAGCGGCAACATACAGCTATAAGGACAGTTTGCTCTCACACGTTCTACATTTATAGTCACACACACACACACACACACACACCGGAACTTGGCGCGCCCCACCTGTCACGTCTCAATTCCCCACCAGTGGGTCGCGCCACACACTTTGAGAACCGCGGCCCTAAAGGGACATGAAGGAAAAAGATAAACTTTTGCGAGATCCTGCAAAACTTTTGCAAGATCTCGCAAAAGTATTGCGAGATCTCGCAAAAAATAAACTTTTGCAAGATCCTGCGATACTTTTGCAAGATCTCGCAAAAGTATTGCGGGATCTCACAAAAGTTCTTTTTTCCCCTCCATGTCCCTTTAGGGGCTCCGTATGAACCAAATCTGATTTCGCTTATAATAGTTCATCAGTTCTAAACCAAATTTATCAGGGGATAAAATAAATGAAGCAAAAATTTTAAATGAGCTAAAGAGCCTCTTGCAGCTCAGGACACCTAAGATGTAGCAGATAAAAACGCCTATCCTCTCTGAATATGTCTAAAAATGGGACAACTTCATTTTTAAACTTCATTTAAACTTCATTTTAAACTTCACAACTTCATTTTTTATTTGAAAATAAAAATAAATGAAATTATTCACAGGGACCAATCAGTTATGGTTACTGTGTCAGCGCATATCATTAAAAATGTATTTAGCCATGACAAGGGCCAGTTGTATAGGGGCCCTAGCACCTGTTGGCCCCCATTTAGAGCTGCCCATTCTTTGAACTCTTTCTACAGTGTCCTTCAACAACAACAATGAATTGTCTTTCTTGTCCAGCAATAGGCCGATGCTAACTTAAGCTACCACAGGGTCTGATCTACAGTACAGGGTGAATATTCAAGCCCCCATCAACATGGTTCAATCACGCTTTAGTTTGTTCATCTTTGTCCTAAAAAGACTATTTAATATTGATTAACATATAGTTTATTAATGTTTGAATCATTTATAAACTGCATCCAAACCATTTATAAAAGGTAAATAAATTATTTATTAAGTTCTTAAGACGTTGAAGTTAGCAGAGCAATGTAACCTGTTTACTTTTTATAACTGGTTCAGATGCAGTTTAGGATGATTAACATTAACAAACCATCATAAAATCATAAATAAATGCTCATTTTGCCGTATATAAATGATGGTTATTGTGAAGTGTTACCAATTCTTCTCATACAATGAATAAAGAGCATCATTCTGCAGAAACTTCCCCGATTTGGTTTTTCTGCACAAGCATTCAAATAAAACGGGAGGAAAAAACATCGTTATAAAACATTAAATCAGATTTTTGTTCATAAATATGTGGTTTTATGGATGTATTGAGGTATCGTCTGTCTAAGCTTTTATGTTAAATTTGATTTAAATAATCTATTAAGGTTGGAATAAAGTCATTTTTTAACCTCTATGGTGTACAGAACTGAACCTTATGGCCGCTTTTTTGCACCATAAGTTTTTGCACTACTAATATTGATTGTTCCGGATTTTTTAATTTTTCTCTTTGCATTGATAAATCTTAACACAACTGTTATTTATTAACTAATGTTATTCATTTCAGCTACAATCTCATTCTCATTGTAAGCTGTATGCATGCATACAAAATTACAAAGTTTGTCTAAGTCTAGGAAACAGATGATGAAGCGAGGCATGGGGCATAAGTCAGTCTGGTACACTGCAAAAACGATCTAGAAATAAGTAAAAAATGTCTTAAATTAAGTGTATTTATCCTTAATTTGAGAAGGTAAATGAGATAATTTGCCAATGGAATGAGAATTTTTACTCCTAAAATAAGATAATTAGATAATACGCACTTAAAATAAGACAATGTAGTTGTGTTTTCTTATTTTAAGTGTAAATTGTCTCATCTAGATTTCGTTTTTTTGCAGTGTAATGATTAATACATTCAGGTCTACAACAGCACTGCAAAAACGATCTAGATATAAGTAAAGATTTCTTAAATTAAGTGTATTTCATCTTAATTTGACTAGGTAAAGGAGATAATTTGCCAATGGAATGAGTATTTTTACTCTTAAAATAAGATAGTTAGATAAAATGTACTTGAAATAAGACAATGCAATTATGTTTTCTTATTTTAAATATAAATTGTCTTGTTCCATTGGCAAAATGTCTCTTTTTCCTCCTCAATTCAAGAACAAATGCACTTATTTTAAGAAAAAATTACTTATCTAGATTTAGATTTTTTCCAGTGAGACCGGACCAATCACAGCATGGGAGGCGGACCATAATGGAACATTTTGGTAAATATCACAGTCAGGGTTTCAGCTGCAACAGAGCAATGCTCTAATGATGCCCTTTATCATGACCCGAAACCGACCGTTGGATAAATTAAATGAATAAAAATGATTTAAAGAGTTATCTGATTGGCTCTCAACTGTTTGCGCCGTCTTTGTTTGTCCCACCTTTTAAACCGGGCTCTAACGGCTCCATTCCAGGTGAGAATGCTGTTTACACGGCATACATCAATCTGGCTGGAGAGGCTAACTGGATCACCTGTTACCAGTAAGCAGCAGCGTTCCCTCATACATTCCTCTTTCCTTCTTTACTGTGAATAAACACACAGAAAGCTGATAGTTAGCTCTAAATCTCTTTATGACTTTTCTTTCTTTTCTTTTATTGATTTAAATCACTAGTCTTGATAATAAAGTCACATTATTATTGTCTGGATCTCTTTTAGTTTTTAAAGTTTTGTAGCAGAGCTGATTTTTTTCTCTAATTCATCTTTACTCCACCTGCACTGCAAAAAATTGAAATCTAAGTAAGTTTATTTTTCTTTAAAAAAAGAGCATTTCTTTCTTGAATTAAGCAGCTAAGTGATACACTTTGCCAATGGAATAAGGCAATTTACATATAAAATAAGAATAAACAATTGCTTTGTCTTATTCCAAGTGGATATTATCTAATTATCTTATTTTAAGAGTAAAAATACTCATTCCATTGGCAAATCTTATTATTTACTTGCTTGAATTATGCTAAATACACTAATTTTAAGACATTTTTACTTGTTTCCAGATCGTTTTTGCAGTGTGACAACTAAAAGTTTTTGTTTCCTATTTTTGTTTTGTGTCAGAAGAACGTTTTATCCAAATTTAAAATGCGAAAGAGTTAAGACGGGGGGAAAAAAAGTTGTAAGAAAGCAGGAAGCGAGTGAAGAAAGTAAGAGTTTTATTCAGCGTGACGCTAATGGATCCGCAGTTAAACATATGCGACGAGTCGCAGATGCTTCTCCTTTAATGTGAGGAGAGGAGAGCCACTGGAGCTGACGAGGCCCGATGCTCCTCTGATGAAGCTGCAGGGCTGTAAACTGTCAGCATCGCTGCTTCAGCCCACATCTGCGTCTGGTCGTCAGTCTGTGTTGCTGGAGGGTAGGGGGGGTGGGTGGAAAAAGGTGAGTTAGGCCAGGAGACCGCGATGGGTGCAGGAAAGAGGCTGGAGCGAGGCCTCGGAGCGAGCCTGCGATTGTTTTCCTAAAGTTACGACATGATTTGGAAATCACAGCCCTTCCCATCACTTCCAGAACTTTACAAATGCTTCAGATATCAGATCGGTTGTCTACTAGACAGTAACTTTGGCCTCAGAACATCCTCTCTACCCTGGAAATCTGAGCTTTGAATCAATACCTACTGCATGCTTGGCATACTTTAGTTATTCATCCTTTGTTTTGTTTTTTTTTTCACTTACAAGTAAGAGAAAATGTTTTAGGTATAAAGTCATATATAATGGATTCATCCACATGAAATCACCGCCCCTCCCCAAAAAAAGATGTACTCTCCCCAGAAATCTGAACTCACGATCAATACTTCCACACACACACACCATCTACAGGAGACACATCAATAACTGCATTACGGCTCAGACTGTTTACTGTGGCAACGCTGCAAATATTCATTTGCTTTGTGTTTGTGTGAAGGTAGGAACTCCAAGTTAGCAAACCAGTGGAGGATTAAAATGATCTGCAGGCAGCATTAGCGGCATATGGAAGAGGAAAAAGCAGCGAGGTCTGGGCGGGTACTGTGGTGAGAATACAAACCACCGAGGAGACAAAACCAATCTGACTAATCACACATGATCTCAAAGAGAATTAATCAGCAGCTCTGGTTAACAATCCCCTAATCATCCTCATTCTGCGTTTTAATGCCGATTAATTTATGAAACGCAGCCCGACTGCCATGTATGGAGAAGCGAAAACAACATGTGAGAACCCAAGGCAGACCTGGAGATCATAATATGACCCCCCCCCTCCCTCCCTGCAGATTCCAAGCCGGCCGCTTTTGCTGTCAATCGAAGTTGAGGAACAGGACTTGCTCCAATATTTCCCCCCATTTAAGGGTTGAATAAAAGTGAGACGTAAACACAGGCCTCCATGGTATCTTGCTGCGGTGCCCAGGCATCGATAACACACACAGAAGTGGAAGAGCCATCAGCTTTCCAGACAGCGAACAGCATCAGGCTGAAAAAGGCGCCGGCAGCCTTCAGTACTCACCCAAAAGTACATCATCATGTTTGGAGCGGGACAGGTGTGGGCAGGCGAGGGCAGGAGAGTGGGACCGAGCACCGGGACCAGTCCAGCCAGTGTGGGAGTCACGGGGAGGGGAGGGGGGTCCAGGTGTTTGGACTTAGAGCTCTACTCGTCCTTGGTCCACGGAGGAAAGCTCTTCTCAACTCTTCAGTGCGGCTCGACTTGAGGCTCACCTCCGCCTCCTCTTCTTCTTCTTCTTTCACTAAAAGCACCTTTTTTTCTTCAGATATTTTTTAAGCCCCCTTCTTCCTCCTCTTCCTCCTCTTCTGAGCCAACACGAGAAAGAAGGAAAAGCAGACAGGAGAAGGGAAAGAGAGCTGAGGAGGTGTTGTAACCTCTTTTTTCTTTTGACACTCTTCCACTCCACTTGCCTCTCCACACCACTCACTTTGAGACTCTCCCTCCCTCCCTCCGTTCCTCTCTCTCTCTCTCTCTCTCTCGCTCCTGTGCTGTCTCTTATTGGTGAATGTGAAATCAGTCGGTACGGCGCCGAGGCTCAACTAGAGCAGCAGGAGCAGCAGCCTGCGCTTGACAGCTGCCTCCAGCGTTCCTCCACCGGAGCTGTGTTGCTCTGCATAGAGGAGTGCGCCGCACAATACGGGATCCTGCAGACGGTACTGTAAAATTCAGCGTCCCGGGGAAGGGGAGGGGAGAAAGGGGGTTGAGGGACAGAGAGAGAGAAATGGGGGTGCAGGAAGCTGGTGGTGGAAATCTCTGCAGGGGGGGGGGGGTAAGGATGGTACTGGTGATGGTAGAGGACTAACGGATCACTCCTCTTTCTCCTCCTAACTGAACTTAAGTTGTTGCAGTTTTAGTTGATCGAACAGAAGAAGAAAGACAAAGAAATGTTTAGGGGGGGGTTTTCAAGAATGAAAAACAAAATATATATATATTCAAATTTAGCTGCTGAGCTTCATCACAAGCTCTCCAATTCTCCCTTCATCTTCCTCTGTCGACGTATAGTGACCGGAAGTGTTTCTGGTTGAAAAACACCCTTTTTTCCCCCCCAGGTGATGCGTATTGGCAGATCAGAGGCCAGATGAAGTTGGTGTGAAACGCCTCTGTGTGCCAAGCTATATTGCATTACATGCTTTAGTGTGTTTTCTATCTGGCGGCTATAAAGGAGGGACGGATGGCGGCGGCGGACGTAGCGTTGGAGAATAGGAGGCGATGGGAGGGCTCGCTATCTTCTAGACAGCGCTGTAACAATGAGCCTGCATCAGCAATTTTCAAAACATATCATCAATACCCGACTGGGAGCTCACGCTTTTAAATATTAACCCCGTGGCCAGCAGGGCCAGGCTGCAGAGCGCCCAGAGTGGTTTTGCGGCATCCTCTGGCACAGGATCATCCAATAAAAGGCATCCTAGGGGATGAGCTAATTTGCCGTAGGATCTTAAAGAACATTTGCCAGCTAGAGAGCATGTTGCCATAATGAACTGAGCAGATATACTCAGGTGTGTTATCCATAAGCAGGGTTTGAAGCTGATACACAAGGGGCCTCCTTCATAAAACCTTACTATAGTCTCGAATTTATCTCCTGTTTTGTTTAGAAAAGCACAACTAGCTCATCTTAACTCACAGTAGCACTAGAATTTTGCAGCAATTCCTACACGTCCGGCACAACAGCATGGATTTACATTAGCAATCACAGAGTGGATAACCTCCACACTCCTCCATCAATCTGTGATGGCAAATAAAAATGAAATGCACTTCTCAGGCAACTCAGATTAAAGATCACGCTTTTATCAAATACTGAAGTCTATTTCAAGTCCTGCTCATAAATAACTGAAGGGGAAAGAGGGAAGAAAAGAGGGTGGAGGGCAGACAGGCAGAGGTGCTGAGGGTGTAGACGGTTGTGCTGCTGAGGGCAGCTCAGTTTAGAGGGAAAAAAGATGGAAAATAAGGTTCAGGCACCATTTATGGCCCAGTAATCCTCACATCTCCACCCTGCCAACGTCCTTCAGTTACACATGAAAACGGCGTTTTGGGTGAAGACAGAGTTAATCGGGGTGAATATGGGATCTTCCTCACTTCCTGTCACTCTGAGTTGCACTTTTTTCCCGCGCTCAACACTACTTACCAGGGATGCGAGCGGCTTTCCCAGGCATTTAGATTTCCCACCATCGTCTAGACACTCCCAAGAGATCCTGCCATCCATTACAAAGATGGAGCTTTCAAAGAGAAGAGGAAGCCAGGGCCTCACACAGAGTGCGTTCCGCCTAAAATGTCCGTCTAAGTCCGATCTCCTCTGACTCCATATCTGCTCCTTGAATATTTCATGACCATCTCACCTCTGCTCTGCAGCTCACTGCTATGCACAGAACAACTTCTGCCAACCTACTCCAGATCCCATCATTAGAAAGACTTCGGAGGAAACAAGGTTCCCTGTGGAGCGCCGCGCCGTTTTTATGGTCCGTTCGGCCTTCTTGTCCTCATTCATCAATCCGTGGCTTCTCCTCTCAGCCCAGTCTCAGCTGGTGGACGCCCCGGTGGGGTCTGTTCAAACCCGGAGAAGGATGTAGCTCCATCCCGAATCTCCCAGGCATTTTATTTTATTTTTTTCCAATCACACACTTCACTTTATAGACTGACCCCCTTTACAACCAGGTGGAAAGGATCTGAAGCTCTGCTCGTTTTATCCCTTTATGTGTCTTCATCAGCCCCACAGGTGGCTATCGATGTTTTTACCTCACATACATCACATCAAGCAGGTTTCACACAGGGAAACAAAAATACTCTTTACAGCTCTTTGTTTTTACCCTTGAATCACTCAGTCAGAACAAATACAGCTTCATTTTTTTGCAAAAAAGTTTCATTCATTAATTGAAACTTTCTGAGGCTATTTTATTTTCTCTCTAATAATGTATTCAGTATAATTAAACCTGTTTCTTTTTGCTTCCTTTGGAGGCTGCGAGGCGTGTCGTCCCTATTGAAGGTGTAGTGGACCATTTTTCTGTCAATTTAGGTAAGAAACATCAAAGTGACTTTCCAAATAACTATGGATCTGCAAGACCATCCTACCTTCTTCTCAAGGGGAGCATCTATCCAATGTGAGTGATCATCAGCTAAAAATGTTTGCATTACACTGTCAGTCACCAACGGTAAATCTTATTGATGGGCCCTTGGCTGGTCCCCTACAATTCCCTTTTAAACATCAATATTTGAACAAAAAATTCAAAAAATTGTCTAATTTGTGGACATTAAGATCTAAAGAAAAGCATCATCTCCTTGTCAGACCCTGTAATTCAGTGAAAGGATGGAGTCAGAGTAAAAAAAAAATATGCAAGAGGAGATGACTCCAGTAGCTGGATGTTGGAGGGGATTTCGCTTGTAGTTGCAGGGAAGTGAGTGCCATTCGGCTGGCGTTTGACTGGGTAGGGCCATTTTGAATGGTACTGTAAACAGTCGAATAGCGCTTACACATCAAGAGGAAACTTGCGGGAAATGAGGCGCACAATGATGTTGGGTAAATAGGTCACACAGATCGGCATTAGGGTAAATCCCCCAGAACTCGGAGATGCCGAGTATGACTTTAGGACTTGATAGATAAACCAGGAAGTGCTGCCTGAAAACTGTCGTGTTGTCCACAACTGTGGAGGGAAATTCGTTCCCCTATTGTTGCACGCAAGGAACACTTTCTGCAAATCGAAATTTGAGAAAAATGATGCAATCTAGAAATTAAACAGAATTACTTGATCATAAGAAAGTTTTTAGGGTAACTTTTTAGTATTCTAAGCTTTTTTTCCATTTGTTTTATCATAAGAAAAATCATCAATGTAAAAAATGCATTTACACTACCCTTGAAAAACCGATCCATGCCAAGACCGGTCCTTTAATGTAGAATGAGAACCGAGCTCGGCCTGGTTAACTGATCGGAGCTCGGTTCTTACGACCGTTTACACATCACGCTATCTCGGTTCCTTGATTCCTCGCCTCCTAGTGACGATCTGCGGTACTACTGCCAGTATTGAAGGAGGAAATCAAGCAGTTGATGGCGGTAATGCACCGAAAGTTGTTTGCCAACCGCCATAAAACACAACAAGAAGAAGACAAAGGAGGAGTGAATCAAGCAAATCAAAATGGCCGTCACATTCAGAAAGTACTTTGGTGTTATTGTTTAAAATGCCATTATTTAAAATGAGAAGATGTCGATTGTTGTTTATAGTTGAGGAAGAAGTCGTTCTTCTTCTTCTGTTTCTGGAGGGGCATTAACGGCAACTACTGGAATGGAGTGTGAATCGGGATGTGCAGCCAGACGGAGATGACGCGTTCTGCTCATGCGCTCTTGTTATCAGAGAACCGAGCCAGGGAAAAACCGAGCCAAGCCCACCTCTGGAACTGGTCTGGAGTTAGCTCGGTCTGGTTGTGTCTAGCTAGGTTTAGTTCAATTTGCTTTCCATTTACACACGATAAGTTATCTCAGTTACTGAGCTCGGACCGGTCTCGGCATGTTTTTTTAAGGATAGTGTAAATGGGGTAATAGTGTTCTGATGGGTAAAGCCGGGCATACACTGTACGACTTTTGCTCTTTTCAGGCCGATTCTTCAGTCGTGCAAGAATTTTTTTCGATTGGGCCGACTTTCAGCCTCATCCTGCGTCTTGTAGTGTACTGGGGGGGAAACAAGGGGCAATCAGCCTCTCACTGCTACCTCCCAATCAGGAATCATAAAGTTTGGGAGAAAATCAAACGTCTGAAATTCAGTCGTCCGTCGTGAGGTGTTCGTGGACAATTCCTGCTGTTGACGCAGATTTACCAGAACCTCGATCACTGCATATGTGAAAACAAAGGAGTTCCTCTTCTTCTTCATTCAACGATTAACGAGTCCGACCAGTGTAATCTCTCGGCGCTAAGTACGACATGTGGTTTTTGGACGTACAGTGTGGGAAGGTAGATCGCATCAGAACATCGGGTCACACAGTGTGAGAACACACATTGTGAACTGTCAACTTTTAAATCCTGCGGTTTCGTCTACAGTTTGAGCTGTAGCTGCGTGCAACGATTGAAAATATTGCAGAGTGTATGCCGAGCCTAAAAGTGTGGCTAACAAGAACCAGACTATGTGGAGCCTGTAGTTCAACAATTCTCATGCATTATTCACCACAGTCGACAGGTTAACAAACCCTCCTATCTCCGTGGCCAATTAACTTCCATCTAAAAGGCCTGCAATGACTTTGCTAAGTTCTTTACTGAGAACATACAAGGTGTGTCAAAAATGTAGGTCTTCCTCCTGTATTTACATTTTCATGAAAAGATGCTAAGAGTAGTCTACCTTGTCATCACCGTTCTCATTCTATTCCACCAACAAATGCATTCGAACAATCAGAGACTCACCTGCAGGGAGTCGATAAATGTGGCTCATTGCTTAACCTTTTACCTGCTGTGTACGAGACCAGGAAACACTGATAAATTCAACATGGATAACAGCTAATGTTGCTAATGCTGCATCCACATGAACATGCATAACCACGAGTCAAACTATTGTGCATATTTAAAAAGGGCCCAAATAAGCTTATTTCATTTTTTTTTATTTTACAAAATGATTAAACACAAATTTTAAGACAATATTAGAAAGATTGT